CCGGGGACGGGGGACGGGGGTGGGGGGACGGGGCAGGGGAAGCGGGAGAGGCGGGCGGGTCGGGAGAGGCCAGGGCGCGACCAGCCGCCTCGTGCACCCTCTGGTGCCGCACCAAGTGCTGCTTGTGCGTGAAGCTGCGTGCGCACTGCGCGCACTGGTAGGGCCTCTCGCCCGTGTGGATGCGCTGGTGGCGAATCAAGTGCGTCTTTTTACGAAAGCGCTTCTCGCACTCAGGGCAGGGGAAGGGCCGCTCGCCGGTGTGTGTCTTCTGGTGCGAGCCCAGGTGGATCTTCTGGCTGAAGCGCTTGCCGCACTCTGCGCACGGGTAGGGCCGCTCGCCCGTGTGCGTGCGCAGGTGGCGGGTCAGGTGGGCCTTCTTGCTGAAGCGCTTGTCGCACTCGGAGCACGGGAAAGGCCGCTCGCCGCGGTGGCTGCGCTGGTGCAGCAGCATGTGCGCGCGCTGCGTGAAGCTGCGGCCGCAGTCCGGGCAGGCGCACGGACCCTCGCCGCGGTGCAGTCTCTGGTGCAGCCGCAAGGTCAGCTGGTCCCGGAACCGCCGCTCGCACTCCCCGCAGCCATAGGGCTTCTCCGAAGTCGGGATCCACCCGGTCAGAGCGAGCCCGCCCAGAGCCCCTGGGGCCCCCGGCTCCAGCTTATATGCGGCGGCCAGGGGCCCCAGGTCAGGCGAGGGAAAAGGGCTGGGGAGTAATGATAGATGCTTGGGCCATTCCACCTCCTCTCCTGCCTCCTGCTCCTCCTCCTCCACCTTCACCTTCCGAATCATCCACTCGTCCCCTGAAATGTCAAAACAAGATGAGTCTGTTAAGCCCCACGTTTATTTATGCAACATTTATTTGCCAATACGACCACCACTTCCTGGAGTCTAGCTTCTGCTTTTCCACTCTCCTGTAAAGTTTCTGGGAATGACCAGATTCATAGATCACTGCAAGTCCTCCTCCTCGGCTCTCTGCAGCTTTCTCCCGGGCTTGCCTGCCTGCTTAGCGCCATCCCTTACTCTGTAATAGGCACCCGCTTACTCTAGCTCAAGGTTCAATCCTCAGGTTTCACTTGGGGCTTCTATGCCTACATGGCAGCCCCAGATCTTACTGTCCAGCTTGCTCCTTCCTGGAACCACAGTCTCTCATCTCTAGTTGAGCAACTCCCCTTGGCATCTTGCAAACAGGCTGCAGCTCATCAGGCTTATCACCAAACGCCTGACCTTCCACATCTACCCCGCTGGCTTCAACATCAGGACTACAGACAGCCTCCTTCTCCCTGTGAGCTGGCCTTGGAACCTTGACGCTCACCTTTCCTGCCTCCCTTGCTCTCTCACTCCCCTCTAGTGGCCACAGAGAACCTTTGTATTCCTTCCTGTCGTCTCTCAAAGGCTCCCTCTGCTCCTCTTCCCTTCACTGGTGCTTCTACAGCCATCTGGGATGGATGGCACCAGCCCCTGGAGAAGCAGGGAGGACCCTCTGGGGGAGTACGTTTGAGCTGAGTTCCCCCCAGAGCTTTGCCCATCTTGGGCACCTTGATGGCTCAGACCGGGAGTGTCCACTTGGGTTCTCTTTTGGCACTAAGCAGCAGTGTGACCATCATGGTTGAGTCATTTACTCTCTTTGAATTAAGTTTGTTAGGTGTAAGGGTTGGACTAGTTCATCGTTCCTAAATCTGATGCCATATCATAATCTTCTGGGGAACTTGCACAAAATGCACCTATGGGAGCAGGGCCCATGAATCTGTTCTCTTTCAAACTCCAAAAGTGGTTCTTGTCTGAGAACCTTTGAACCGGATGACTGGAGTTCCTGTCTGGCTCTAAAAGCCTGTACTAGCCTGAGCCTTGGTTACATTACACATGGACTATCACAGCTAAGATTTACTCCCATTTACTTTTATTGATTCATCAGCTCCAAACAACCATTTATCATACTGTGGTATCACTTTTTTTCATTGTGCCACCCTTCTGAAGAACCGTCAATAACTCCCTCTTATTTATAGCACAAAGTAAGTATTAGCTACACCTGAGGTTCATGCCAACCTAGTCCAACTGTCTGAATACTCCCAGGCATAAACCCTTCACTTCACGCAAACTGGTCTCCTTTAACCCGTGTCACAAGTCAACTTTCCTACTTCAAAGTCTCTTCTTAGTCTAGGATGTTTTCCCATCCTCCTCCCCACCCTCATCAGAGCTGAAGTCTATATCTCACTCAATATGGGGCACAAATCAACAAAATGACTGACAAATGCAATGCATGAGGATTTCATAAAAACACTTAACTGTTGACAGTTTCACACTTCCTTGTGACGTAGCTTTATTGTTATTTGTTCTTTTAATTCTTTATTCTAGCTCCTATCGGTGTCACCTTAACTAGATTTTAGGTTTTGGAGGGCAGGCATCTTGTGTTCTCTTTCTTTACATGTCAAATAAAAATAAGAATCGCCAGGGGGCAAGGCATAGGGAGGGTATATCTCAGTGGTAGTGCTCATGCTTAGCATGCACAAGGGCCTGTGTTCAATCCCCAGTCCCTCCATATAAACAAACAAACAAACAAATCTAATTATCTCCCCCCACCAAATAAACAAAAAACAGGATTGCTGCCATGTATTGAGTGTCAACTGGAGATGAATTACCGGATATACACTCTGACAAACTCTCACAAACCTTCACAAAAACCCCTGCAAAGAACTTACTCTTATCCCTGTTGAACAAACTGAGTGAACAAATGGAGGCTCCTGGAGGCGAGGTAGCCTATCCAAGATCACTCAGCTAAAAAACATGGAGCAAGGATTCAAACCAGGACTGGGTCACTCCAGAGCTCATCTCTTGTGCTCTACCTACCATGGCCTAGACGTATAAATAAACCTGGTTGTAGTGGAAGGAGTGATGGGCTGGGTTGTGGAGAGATAATCAACTGTTCAGTCTCTTGGGTTTGTGGGAGAGGGGTCAAATACAACAGATTTGGAACATCTGGGTAGTACTGAGGTCAGTGGAGATTTGGAGGAGGGAGCATGTCTGGGGAGAGACAATGAAAAGGTTGATTAATGCCATATGCCTTCATGGGAATCATAGTTCAAGTTGTCAACAGCTATGTCCTTCAACTGGGGGAGACAGATATGTAGAGGATGCTGAGGTGAGAGTATATTTCTCTTTGGTGACCAGCCTCTCTGATTCCCATTGTCTGTGGATGTAGAATTCCCTATGGGTGCTGAAGCTCTACAGCAGAAGGGAGCCAGGACCTCATTCATCTTGGGTTGGAAGGGCCTGGAGCGGCTGCCTCATCCCATAGCTGGCAGACCCCTGCTCCCTCTGCCTGGCCCCTCTACAGGGGGTAGGAGACGGACAGAGAGATAGGAAGACTCACCTGGGCAGGAGCCCACGGGCTCAGGCTTCCAGGGTGTGCACACCCGGCCTCTGCAGGGAACTTCGGCTTGCTCAGTGGGGACACCTTCCTCCGGGCTGGGGACCTCGTGCCCTGGCAGAGAATAGACTACTTCAAGGATGCCACAGACATCAGAGATGGACAGAGGTCCCCACTGGTGCTGGGAAACAGGGGCTTTTGAAATCCCAGTCCCAGCCCCACCGGCAGGATTTCATCCCCCATCATACCTGCAGGGGCTGATTTCCCAGTTGCCCCCAGGGCAGCAGCCTCAGGCTCCTTCAAGCAGGGCAGCTGCTAAGGCTGTGCAGGTTGCAAGAGCCACAACTGTGAGGAGTTTCTGGAATATGTGTGTGTAAGAGAGTGGAAGCAAGGAAAGGTCCCTGCCCAGAGGCTTATGTGAGGCTCCTTAAGAGGAGGGATGGGGACCTCCCAGCCACCAGATGGGCCCCAGTTCCAGGGCAAATCATTGGAGAAGATCCGGATGTCAGGAAGCCAGGTACACACCTTCTCCCCGTAAATGCTACGCCACCTCTTTCACGTCTTTCTTTCCCAATGAGGCCCACTCTTACCACCGTATTTAATCCTATGGTGAGCTCTACCCCTACCTACAGTGGTCTCAGGCCCGCTCACCAGGCTTTGCCTCCTACGACGCACATATCCTCTTCTAACTTAGGTTATAAGTACACTTATTTTTACATCTGTTGTTTGTTGACTCTCTGCCTTCACTAGGATGAAACTCCTGGAAGGTCGGGATCTTTGTCTACTTGGTCACTGAAGTTTCCCAAATATCTAGAATAGCATGTGGTACTCAGCAAGTGCTCAAAAAAATACTTGATGAACAAAGGAAGGAAGACTCTGTCCTGAGCCACTTTCTATGGTCCCCGCTTATTTACCTGAGCATGTGCCCAGCACTCTCTCTTCCTGGGGAGCCGACATCTGCTCCTGGGCATTATGGGACCCTTCCCCAGGCTCACTTTGGGGGGCCATCTCCGGCTGCCCCACAGAGAGTCCTGTTACAGGCAAAAGGATCAAAAGGATGGGTCCAAGTAAAGCATGCGGTACAGAGGAGGTGATCAAAGTGGCTTTTCTTGTCCAGCCCACCCAATGGGTTTCCCCCACGTGCTCAGGAAGGAAGGGTCTCTAACTAGCACGGACAAGGGATGGACAGGCTCCCCAGCAGCCTGGCCCAATATCAACCTCAGCCCCTTTTCGTTGAGTCAAGGACAGACTATGGAAGAAAGAGAGAAAATAGATTTAAACATCCCTGCTGCTCTGTTGAGTACGCATGTGAACCTGCAGTACAGTCCAGCACAACCTCCAACGTGGGCCAGGCATTTTTTCTGATGAAACCAGAAAGGATGCTGCCCTAAAGTCTCCCGGGTTCTCTGGGGTCTCACGGTTGCAGTCTCCTGAGGATGCTCTGCTGTCTGAATCAGGGAAGCAGCAGGCCTAGTATGCCCCTGAATCCTCCTACTCCACCCCCAAGTTCCTTTAGTCCAGCTGGCTCACCCAGGGAGCTGAGGGCCTCGAAGGTCTCTCTCATGGCAACCCAGGCTCCTCCTGGGATCGGGCCACAGACCCTAAGGAGAAAATACATTCTTGTTCAGATTCTTCTCAGATAGCTTCCACCTGGGCCTTGGCTCTGTCCAATCTCTCCCCATCAACTCTCCCCAGGAGCTCCAAAGGGGATGTCCTCCCGTACAGGTAAGGGAAATGAGGGAAGGGGGATTTCAGAAAGCAGAGACCTTTAAATGTGGCTCAAGGAGAAGGCCTTGAAGCCATTTCTGCAAGATAAGCTCAGGTCAGCTCAGGATATCAGCCGCCCACCCTCTCCTGGCAGGTCTCTCAGAGCCAGCCCCAGCCCATCCACTTTCCCCAACCCCCAGTGCTCTTGCCTGGGGGTGTCAGGAATCAGCTGATCCTCTGGGGAGAGGGTGGAGGGTAGGGGGCCAGGATGGGGAGCGGGGAACTTCGTCCCCTAGGTTCTCCAGCTGTCACTTCAGGAGCTGGTGAAATAGGAGCCAGCTTAGGGGCGGAGGTATCACTAGTGGGTAACTGGTGGGGAGGCCCTCAGAGGAGAGTCCTCACTGAAGGCAGGAAATAGCTCTGGCTTCCTCTCCCCAAAACCCTACCTCAAAGCCATCGCCCCTCCCCCACGGGGCTTTCCCAGGCTTGGACACCCCGCCCTCGAGCCCCCTACCCGGCTCCTCCCCCAGCGGGTTCGCTGCCCCTCCCCTAGTAGACTCCCCTCCCCCCCAGTCTCTCTGGCAGCCTTCCCGCTCCCCCTCCCTTCTCCCCCTGCCTCTGCCTTCCGCCCTCTCTCCCCACTGAAGCTGGCTGGCTCCCCAGCTCCGCCCCCTGCCCCGCCCCTCCGGCTCCTCTCCCTGCCCACAGCCTGCAGGCCTACCCTCTCCGTCCCCTCCGGTCTGCCCTCCGCAGCCACCGCCCCCGGACCCTCCGCTGGGGCAACCATCGTGGCAGTGCTCCCCTCCTCCTCCCTGGTCTCTGGGCCGCCTACCCCTTCCCTCCTGGTTCTCCCCCGGCTCCTTCCCCCTCCACGGCTGCACACCCTCTCCCTTCCTTTCCCCCTCCTCTTTTCCTTCCTCTCCTACACCGCCCTCCTCCTCCCGGCTCTCCCCTCCCCCTCCCTCTCCTCCCCCACTCTGGTTTCCCTTCCTTCTCCTTTCCTCTCTTCACCTCAATTCCCTCCTCCTCCCTTCTCCCCGGGCCTCCTCCCCCTCTCCCCACACCATTTTTCCCTCCCTCTCTCCCTCCCTCCTGCAGCTCTCCTTCCCCTCCGAGGCCCCGTCTCCCTTCCCCCTCTGCCTCCCCAGCAGGCTCTCGCTTCCCTTCCTTCCCGGTCCCCACTCCCCAGAACTGCTGTTCCCCTCCCCCTTCCAGTCCTCTCCGCGAGCTCCCCCCAACCACCCCCCGGCCCCGCAGGTCTCGGGGTCTGAGGGGAGACCGCTCACTCCAGACCGTCTCACCGGCCTTGCCCCTCCCCACCTCTGCCTCCCAACACACCTCCGCGTCTCCTCCCCTCCCTCTCAGTGGCTCCCTTCCCCATTTCTGCTCCCCGCTGACTTCTCACCCCTCCCAAGTTTTCCTGCCCGCCCACCTCCCCGCTTCGGTCTGTCCCCCGAGAGCCCCTCCGCCAGGACTTCACTCCACGTCCCGTCCCCTCCCGGCTCCGGGGCTCTCACCTGTCAGCGCCCTTCTCTCCGCCCCTCCCAAACGCCCGATCCCCGCGCCTCGGTTTCCTCCCCTTTCCCTCGGCCTCCTCCCACACTCCGTCTCACCTCTCCTAAGACGCCCCACTCCCACCCCTCGGGAGCCTCCCACCGTTTCCCACCCGACTCCCACCCGGCCCCCTCTCTCCAGCCCCCTCCCATCCCTCCGGATCTCATCTCCCTGCTCTTCCCGAAGCC